GGGTTCTAATATCTAACCCTAAGCTTTGTCAAAATTTCACTCTAACCCTAAAAATATAAGGATGGTGATTTTACCTCCGGGTAAATGTAGTTATTTTCATATTAATAATAATAATAATAATAATAATAATTTTTGCAGCATTAGCGTTACGAATAATAATATTGGTTCTAGTTAACCATTAATTAAAAGTTTTTGCATTCCCCGCGTAGAACACATTCGCATTTTCTTGAGCATAATGAATTTCTTTTTCTGCAAGAACATGATTTGGTGCCGCAATTTGTTTTTTTGGCAACGACATATTTCTTGTCGGGTGCCTTGACTAGAACCTAAATTATATATGAATATTTGAATATACGTTTAAAGAATAAAATTTTGGCTAGTAATTAACGTTAGGCGAGCATCTAATCACTTTTATTCCTTTTTTATTTCTTAAATTTATTTTATTTTAATTAATTTTTCGTTTAATGTTTGAAAATTTAGCGCAATTAACGTTAATAGAGCATATAATAATTTATTTTTAATCGCTTTTTATTTCTTAAAATTTTTTTATTTTAATTAATTTTTCGTTTGATATAAAATTTAGTTAGCAATTAACGTTAAGAGAGCAAATAATAATTTATTTTTGTTCGCTTTTTATTTCTTAAATTTATTAATTTTATTTTTTTCAATCTTTTTTTCGCCCTTTTTTAATCGGTAAATGAATACCGATTCTAAAACGACCTAATTAATTTCACGATCCACGAATAACAGGCGCCAATCCCGGATCGACTTAAATCCCGTATCGACGCGGAACAGTAACACTATATAAAATACAAAGTCGAAAATAAATAATCTAATAAAAGCTATTATTATACTGCAAATAAACATCGATTTTTATCATTTTATTTTTTTATTTTCTAATAAGTACAATACAGTAATATTCAAAAATTTAACTACAATCATCATATATGTCAATATTCAATTTTTCAAGAATTTCAATAGCGTCAGTGTGATTATTAAGGGCGGCCAATTTTAGATATTTCACACCTAATTTCTTATCAATTTTACAGTCGAGTTTTCCATGAAGATACATATCACCTAAGTTAAATTGCGCTATAATGTTCCCATTATCTGCGGCTTTAGTCAGATATTTGATAAACGCATTAAGTTCAAATTCAAAACCAGGAATATTAACCAAGAGAGCGAAGGCATAATCTAACTGTGCATCAGCAATTCCATAATCAGCAGCTTCTTTGAATAATTCACAAGCTTGCCTTTGGTCTTTAATTCCAGAATATCCTTCAGACAAGTAATATCCTTTCCAGTATTTAGCAGTCATATTACCTAGATCTGCATGAGCACAGAATATTTTCCAAGCGGTTTCCCGGTCTTTTATTTTATGGGCTTCAAATCCAGATTCAAGTGGTTTTATCAATGTATAAGGTATACGATATTTCTTATTATCTTCACAATTATCAGGTTCATGTGATAAATCAATGTTTTTATCATTTAATTGCATTAATTGATATAGGTCTAAAAATATTCTTTGAAGAGATGCTCGATAACGTATGTCGCGCCACGCTTAAAACAAAAACATCTTTTATGAATATATAAGCGATAGGCTGATTAAAAATGAAAAGTAAGCTTACCTGATATTATAATTTTTTCAAGACCTTGAATTTTTTTATCCTCTGCCTTTTGAGAGTCCCAATTAAACTTTTCCCTCTTATCTTGAAGAACATGGTTTCTAATTTGTTCTATTCTCATATTTTCGTAAGGAATTCTTCTGAATGAAAGCTCCCACAGCAACATCCCAAAACTAAAATTGTTTAAAATAAAATGATTAAACAAGAAACTAATATGTACTTAAATAGGATGAATTTTATAATACCTAAAAATTTCACATTTGAATGTATATTTAACGGGATTATTTTCTGAATCCAGCATTTTTTCCGGAGCCATCCAATGAAAAATTTCTTTAATATGTTTTACATTGGTGGTTTTTGCTTCTACAAACCGGGAATATTGGAAATTGGAAATCTTAGGTTCAAGACGTGCAGTCATCTGTTTTAATCGTACAAATTATTAATTTTAATTCACTCAGATTAATCATTATAAATATCTACAGTACCATAATGTTATGACATCTAATATCATGATGAAGGATGTCACAAGAGTGTATAAATATAAGACCCCGACAAATGTCAAGTGCAATTTGTACTTTATTACGCCATAAAATATCACCTTTCATATATAATTCTCTAAGAGTGCCTAATTCTACCCATTCAAAAACCATAACCTGATCCCCATCAACCATAGAGATGCCATAAAATTT